AAAATCTCAGTTCAATAAATATTTATTGAGCTTGTGTGGACTTTGCTAGTCTAGGAGAAGGAAAGAATATTCATCCTACGTTTTCTCAGCAGAGGTAATAAGAAGGCAAGGGGAATTTATGATGGGCAGTGGAGGAGGGAGACAGTGGATACCTCTTGGGGCCCTGAGACCAACTGGAGCGATGGAGCCCATGGTTCATCCCACCAACCCCCCACTTCTAAATATCTCCCCAAGAAGAGAGGCCCAGAGGGGCCGTTGGAGGATCTGCCTCCTGACCTGCGTGGAGAAGTGGATCTTCACGCAAGGGGTGGAGAGTGGCAGCCATGGAGGGGCACTGTTTTTTTTTTAATTTTTATTTATTTATGATAGTCACAGAGAGAGAGAGAGAGGCAGAGACACAGGCAGAGGGAGAAGCAGGCTCCATGCACCGAGAGCCCGATGCGGGACTCGACCCCGGGTCTCCAGGATCGCGCCCTGGGCCATAGGCAGGCGCCAAACCGCTGCGCCACCCAGGGATCCCCCAGCTCCCCGTTTAAAAATGAACTTGCCACAGGGCTGCGCCCCATGCAGTTAGCAGACACCCTCCAGCTGCGGTGCTTTCCGGAGCCTTTCCAGCTTTTGTTTGTTCATTCATTAGGGCCATTTTAGGTTCATGACAATATCGAGCAGAAGATCCAAAGATTTCCCATATACTCCCTCCCCCACACATGCATAGGCTCCCTCACTCTCAAGGTCCCCCACCCGAGTGGCACATTTGTTGCAATGAATGAACCTACATTGACACGTTGTTGTTACCCCAAGTCCTTAAGTTACCTTAGTGTTGTACATTCTGTGGATCTGGATAAAGGTATAATGATACGTACCCACCATTATGGTATCCTGGAGAAGACAGTCTCCCTGCCCTAAAACTCCTCTGTGCTGCGCCTATCCATCCCTCCCTCCCCCATAACCCCTGGCAATCACAGATCTTTTCACAGTTCTTATAGTTTACTTCTCCAGATGTCTTCTAGGTGGAGTCATACAGCATGGAGCCTTTTAGGGCTGACCAATTTCACTGAGTAATACGCATGTAAGGTTCCTCCAAGTCCTTTCATGACTTGATAGCTCATTTCTTAATGCTGAATAAGGTTCCATTGTGTGGATACACCAATTTATTTATCTGTTCACGGCCTCAGGGACATCCAGGTTGCTTCCAAGTGATGGCAATTATGAATTAAGTTCCTCTAAACATCCGCGTGCAGGTTTTCGTGGACATCACTCCCGCTTCAGAGCTGAAGCCACCTTATTCTGAGGCAGCTCCCAACTAAGGATGGAGCATGAAAAGGGTATCAAGGGACTGGGCATTTCCACCCAATACAAAACTTCCCTACTGGTCAATCCTGACCCTAGAGCTCCCTGTCGGATTGGCCAAGACTTTGTCAGATCTGCATTGGGGTCTGAGGCTCTCACAGCCCTTAGCCCCCAATGAACCACTTGTTTATCCATCCCCATCCCAGTGTGTGCTTGGAGGACCTAAGTGGCAAACTACCTCTAAAACGATCCATCCAATTCTCTCAGTCTTCCAAGTCTCCACTCCTCTCACCTGGATGGTTGCACGGCTCCTGGTTGTCTTCCCCTCCTACCCTGATATGACCCCGTCTCCATAAAACTACCAGAGAGATCTTTAACAAACACAAACCATGTGATGTCACTTCCCTACGTCGAGGCTTCCAATTGGGCTTAGAATCAAACCCATTCTCCTCCCATAGCCTGTGAAGCCCTAAATGACTTTATCTGCCTTTCTCTCCAAATTTCCCCTCTCCCCTGAAGTTCACGCTCCTTTAGCCCCAGTGGTCTTTTTTCTGTTCCTGGAACATACCAAGCTCATTTCTGCCTCAGGGCCTTTGCACTAGCTGTCTCCTCTGCCTAGAACACTCAGTCTTTCCCCAGATTTCTGCATGGCTGTTTTCTCAGGCCTTTCAGGTCTCAGTTCATGTGCAGGACTTTTCTGACAACCTTATAAATAATGCCAACCCCCCAAAACCCCCCACCAACACACACACACACACACACACACACACACACACTGCCTACAATTTTCTATATTACTTTTTAAATTTTCTTTGTAGTTCTCATTACTCTTATAAATTAACTCATTTAATTATTCATTTGTTTACTGCTTACCTCCCCACTAGAACATAAACTGCGAGCTTGTCTTATTTCCAGCTCTCCCCAGTGCCTGGCATTATGCCTGGCACAAAGTCGGTCTCAAAACATATATTTTGAATGAATAACTATATTTGTTCATTGAGGGGAGAATTCCCTTACCCTATGAATGGGATATAAGTGAAGAAATAAAAAGCCCAAGAGGCATGACACTTAGAGGGAAAATGTAGGGACAAATCCAAGCGAAGTTCCCCTGAGGATCTGTTTCTGACCATATCTGGAGGAATTCTGGTTAGGAGTGTGGGGCGGTGGGGGGGGGGTCTCTTCCACAGCCCCTGAGAAATGAGTGTCAGGACCTCCCTGTCCTAGCCTCCCCTCCCCCAACCCACTCCAGCAGCAGCGAGTGTTGCCTGTAGGGGAACTAGCTCTGCAAACATTTACCAAGAAGCCATCCTGGGTGGGGGCTCCATGCTGATGTTGGGGATAGAGATGAGCCAAGGAAGAAGGAGAGGAGCAGCATGGCAGGCAGCAGACACCATGAACAAAAGCAGAGAGAGGGAACATTCTGGTGTGTTTGGGGAATTATGCGCAGTTTGATATTGCTCCAGACAGTGAGGAATAGGAGATGAGGCTGGAAGGGTGAGCAGTGTCCAGGGTTGCTAACAGTCTTACAAACCGAGAGAAGTTAGCATAATCAGGCCTGGCATTTACTGAGGCTTCCCACGTATTATTGCTATTCCCCATTTTATAATTTGGAAAACTGAGGTACAGAGAGGGTGTCAAGAATTGGGAAGGGCCTAAGACCTTACCCTCCTGGCAAACCATGTCCCACAACTGAAAACAGGGGCAGGCAGGGTTAGAATTAGGCCTTCTGGCTCTCAGAGAGCCCATGCCCTCGACCACTAGAAGGTACTGCCTCTTAAGAGGTTTGGAATTTATTCCATAAGGGATGGGGAGCCACTGATGGATTTAGAAGCAGGAATTCACATGTTCCTATCACAGGATAAACAGACCAGTTTAAAAAGATTTGACGCCAGCCTATGGACCCATTTATCCAATTGTCCCCTAATCTCATGGGGCAGCTCACATAAAAGTGGCATCATTTGGTGCTCAAGCCACAATGGCTCTGCTGCCCTCGCAGCAGCCCCCTCTCTCAGCCTCCCCTGTCCTTCCCTGGATTTTCTGTAACAGTTTCTCCTCCGGATATTGTGTGTGTTTCCGTCTTCACAGAACACGAGCAGCTGCATCAGGAGTCCCAGTGCCTCATGCACCTTCTGGACTTCCTGGGTCCCCTTCTGCCTGCGTTGGCCTTCAGGGAGCCTGGCTCACCTCTCCATCGCGGAGATGCTTCCCCTAAGCTGTGCCACCTGGCAGGGTTTCCAGGTCACTGCTCCAGTGAGTACTAACTCACAACTGTGTGCATAAGGCTCTGGGGGCTCATCATGTCCACAGCCTGTACTTGCTTGGCTCCCACTTTACAGTTCATGATCCTTGACTCCCAGAGATCTGGTGAGCAGGGTGGGCATCACCCTGGGTGGGGTGTGCAGAGCATGTGCTCAGGGACCATAGCGGGCAGGATCCCAATGGTCAGAGAGGGTCCCCTAGGGCTGTGGGTCTCTCCCCACAACCACCACTACATAGAGACCATACGGCAGCCGTGGTGCCTCAGAGCCAGCTTGTGTCTTCCCCTCCAGTCAAGAATGAAGGCTTAGAAGGGAGAATGGCCTGGGTGTCGCCTTGGCCAGTGACTCCCAGGAGCCACAGCCTTTCTCTGCACCCTAGGCTGTGAACATCCCAACATCTGCAGCCTTCTAAGGGCCCTTTCAGCACCAGGAACCCATGCTGGTCAGAAAATGCCTCGTGGAAAACTGAAGCTGGACCTGAATTGTGGAGGATGGTAGGATTTTTTTTTAAAGTTTTTAATTGCAAAATTAATTTGCAGCAAAATATATATAGACATGTTTGAAAAGAGAAAGTAAGTCTCCTCAACCACCCCCACACCACAGCCGCACTCCCGTTCCTTCTGGTTCCTTCTGGTCCACACGCACGGTTGTGCCTTCCTACTGTATGTAGACTGTGGTGGGGAGAGGGGTCTTCTCTGGGACCCCTGATGTTTCCTGCCCTTAGGGCTTCAGGGGAGACACCATGTAGTTCTGAGATCACCGGAAGTTTTTCTTTGTCTTTCTGCTGTGTGTGTGTGTGTGTGTGTGTGTGTGTTCTTGGGGTTTTCTTTTTGATGAGTGTGGAGGGAAGTGAACCCTGCTCCTTCAGGAGATTGGAGGTGGGAGATGGCAGGCAGGTGGCCCTAGTGTAAGCAGAAGTTGGCTCCAAATCCCCAGTGCCTTGCCCCCAACACCGACCTCTTTTCTTCTACCCACGCCCCTCCCCCAGCTCCACGCCGGAATCTGAGTCCAGCCAGAAGGGTCTGAACTCAAACGCTGCTCCAAAGCATCCTAGGGCGTGACCTTGGACAGCGGCCTGACCTCGGTGGGCCTCGGGCTTCGCATCTCCGCGGTGAGGCTAAACCGTGCGCGAGCTCGGAGCTGTCGCTCGGCCCTGAGCCCGCCCCGGAGACAAGCTTCCCGCAAGGTGGCTGTCGGCCTTACCGGGGCGGGGAGGGGGCCGGGGCACCGGGGCGGGAGGGGGCGCGGCGGGGGTCCCCCGGGGGTCCGGCGCGGCGCGGGCGGTGGGATCGCGCTCCCCGCGGCGGCCCGGCCCCGGCGCCCGGCACGGAACGGGTGCGGGGCTGGGCCACGGCCGGCCGGGGGGAGCCGGCGGGGCGGGGCGGGGCCGCCGCGCCCGCTCCCCCTCCCCGCCGCCCGCCGCCTTCTCCTCCTCGCGCCGCCCGGGCTCAGAGCGGCGGCAGCAACGGCCGCGGCAAGAGCTCCGGCTGCGGCTGCGGCTCCCGTTCCGGCTGCGGCTGCGGCTGCGGCTCCGGCTCCCGCTGCGGCTCCCGCTCCCGCTCCCGCTCCCGCTCCCGCTCCGCCCCACGCGCCCGGGCCCCGCTCGGCCCCGACCCCGCCGCCGCGCCTGCCGGGGGCCTCGGCGCCCCCGCCGCCCGCCTCACGCTGAAGTTCCTGGCCGTGCTGCTGGCCGCGGGCATGCTGGCGTTCCTCGGTGCCGTCATCTGCATCATCGCCAGCGTGCCCCTGGCGGCCAGCCCGGCGCGGGCGCTGCCCGGCGGCGCCGACAACGCCTCGGCCGCCTCGGCCGCCTCGGCCGCCGCCGCCGCCGCCGCCGCCGCGTCCCCGGGCCCGCAGCGCAGTCTGAGCGCGCTGCACGGCGCGGGCGGCTCGGCCGGGCCCCCCGCGCTGCCCGGGGCGCCGGCGGCCAGCGCGCACCCGCTGCCGCCCGCGCCGCTCTTCAGCCGCTTCCTGTGCACGCCGCTGGCGGCCGCCTGCCCGTCGGGGGCCGCGCAGGGCGACGCGGCGGCCGGCGAGCGCGAGGAGCTGCTGCTGCTGCAGAGCACGGCCGAGCAGCTGCGCCAGACGGCGCTGCAGCAGGAGGCGCGCATCCGCGCCGACCAGGACACCATCCGCGAGCTCACCGGCAAGCTGGGCCGCTGCGAGAGCGGCCTGCCGCGCGGCCTCCAGGACGCCGGGCCCCGCCGCGACGCCATGGCCGACGGGCCCTGGGACTCGCCGGCGCTCGTCCTGGAGCTGGAGGACGCCGTGCGCGCCCTCCGGGACCGCCTGGACCGCATCGAGGTGAGCGCCGTCGGGCGGGGCGGGGCGGGGCGGCGGGAAGGGCGCGTTCCCCTCGCGTCGGCTCCAGGCGCCTCGGTGCGAAGCCTCAGCTTCCGCGTCTGTGCAACGGGCGTCGCAGTGCCCGCTCTCGTGGTGGGGGTTTAGTGTTTGCAGGTGTGTGTGAAAATGCTGGGCACGTAGTAGGGCCTCGTTAAAGGTCCGCTTCGTTTGTTTGTTCGTTCCAGGCGCCCCCAAAGCAGCTGCAGTCCCTCTCGCTTCCCACGGCCCGCAGACAGGAAGCGCTGTCCCGGACCGGACCGGGAGCTGCTGCCCTGCTGAAGAGCAGGGAACAGAGCGTCCCATCAGCCAAATCCGGGCCCCCTCAGCGCTTCCCATCCCGGTCCCTCCCCCTGGGGCTCAGACCACACTCCTAAGGGCAGCCGCTTTCGTGGCGCTGGCCCAGCCCTGGGGCGGAGACCGACCCGAGGACTGGGCCTCCCGAGGGTTCCTTCTCCTCCTTCACCTTTTTTTCAGCCGTCCCTGGCTCAGGTCAGACCCAGGGGGTCCTACAGGGGGAATCTGCCCTTGGCTGTGGTGTGATCCCCTGGCCAGTCATTTTTCCTTTCAGGTTGCCAGACCCCTTCCTTCCTGGGGGCGCTGGGCGGACGTGGAAGGGCCGGTCTGCAAGACACTGATCACCCCACGGCCATCCATGATTTGCAGATGGCAGGGAAGGGGGTTAGCACCAAGATAGAGCTGTGGAAAGAGGGAGGAGATGGAGGCCAAAGCCCCCTCCCATAGTTTGCCCTGAGTGGCTCTGGCAAAGACAGAGGGGAGGAGAGGCTGGGAAGAAGGAAATGCAGGGAACCCCCCTCCTCATGGCTCCTTCAGATCAACCTCTGGCCTGGCAATAATGTGTGTGGGGAAGGTTGGCCCTTGCCATGGCCCCAGCCGCCCTCCGGAAAGTCTGTGCTGGTGTCAGCACCCACCCCAGGGGGTGTCCGAGTGCAGCCAGGCCATCACAGCCAACCTTCTCACCTTACTGGTGAGAAACCCCGGGCTCAGGGCCCTCCTGGGTGAGTGGCAGAGGCAGGAGGAAAGCCAGACCAGCAGCATCCCCTTTTTCTCCTTCAGCTCTGAGGGCATTTCTAGGGTGAGAGAGCCAAGAGCAAGAAGATAATCAGGGAAACACAAAAATTCAACAGTGAAGAGGAGCCTCAGTGTCCTCACCCGGGAAATGGGGACACTACCTCGTCGGGGTGTTAGGAAGATGAAATGACTTAGTCTTTGTCAATGGCCCAAAACAGTGCCTGGCAGCCACGTGCTCCATCAATTTGAGCGATGGCTACTTTTATCACTAAGCTATAATACTGCTAATTTTTTAAGTAGCCAGAACTAAAAATGGGAAGAAACCCCCCTTTTGGGAATAAGAGTTTATTAATGTAAAAAAGAGAGAGAGAGAGATTTGGTTTTCGGTAAACTTCCTCTTGCCTGCCCTAGCGCCTGCCTCCACACCCAGATGGCACCTGTGGTTCCTCCCACGTCTGGGGCTGGCAGGGCTGGGCTTGCCCTGGACCTGTTCCCCCAGCACCTGTGCATTTGGCAGGGTGGGCTCCCCTCCAGTTAGCCTGCTGAGGTTGGGGGGGGGCGGGGATCCTGGCGCCTGGGATTTGGCACCAGATCAGCCTCCCAGGTTGGGAGAGCCCTGGCTTCCCTACACATACCCTCTCCTGCTTTCTGAGTGCAGTGGACATGGAGGCAGAAAGGTGGGGGTCAGCTTGCCCACCAGCTCTGTCTTCTGAGCCTGGCAGCGGCCAGAGCCAGTCTCTGTGGAGCCTTTGGGAGGGGCTGGGGTCTGGTCCCCCATCTCAGCAGGACCCTATGCATCCTGTAGCCACGGCCTACTTCCTCCTCTCTCTTTTCATCCAATATCCTCAAAAGGACGCACTCAGATTCTCAAGGTCTGTAATCTCGCCACTCCTTCTTCTCCCTTTATGGCGCACTGAACATGCTCTGGGGACCTCACCAAAGTTGATCAGTTGAACGAGAATGATTCAGTCCTTATCTTGCTGAATGCCTCTCCAACGTCTGACCATCTGACCGCGTCGATCATTCCCTCCTACAGACCTCCATGCCCTTGGCTTCTAGACACCTCTCTCCTGCTCCTTCTCCCTCTCTGCTTCTGTGTCCCCTTTCAGGGTCCTCCTGCTTTAATGGCCACGCCCCTCCTGGCTCTCCCTTTCCCTGGGTGAACTCAGCCACACCCTACGGCTTCCAACACCCATTCTACTGTGGTGCCCCAACCAACTTCGTCCAGCCCAGGTTTCTCTCCAGGATAGGTCCAGTCGCTTCCTGAGAACCTCCCTCTGGACTTCGCACTGACCCCCTGCCCTCAGGGTGCCCCAGCCTGAACTCCCGTCCCCCACCAACCTGCTTTTCAGGTGTGCTCTGAGAAGCTCCTCCCTTGCCCTCCTCCTTCCAGGTGATCTCATCTCTCTGGATGCTTGCTGCAGCCCCCTCAACTCACCAGGCACCCCCCTCCACCCATCTTTCTTCAGGCAGCCCCAAGGATCTTCCTTAAGCCCATCATGGGGCTTCCTTGTGGTGCAAACTCCCCAACCTGCTCCCAGGCTGTAACTTCAGAGCTGGCCCGACTCCCAGTTCCTTCTTGCCTCTGCTCAGATTACCCCCCGAGTATCCATATTCAGCATCCAAGAGTCTGCTTTAAGGACACCTCCTCCCAGGGGCCCTCCCTGATCACACACTGTCTTCTTCCTAGCCCCGTTCCTGCTCCCAGAACCCTGGGCACATCCCTGCCAGTCTTCCCCGCCACCCCCCCCCCCGCCCCTCACCAGCACTTCTCTGCATCACCCCCTCCCTCACCCCACCAGCCTTCTTCCAAAGGGGTGGGAAGGGCACACTGGCCCAGGCCTCCACCCGAGGCCTCAAATGAGAGCCACGTTTGAGAGCTTAGGAGAAATTGTTTGTCTTCTTTCCTGTGTGCTTATTTTTGTTATTGCTCTAGCTGCTATTTGAAAAAGGTAAAAAAGGTGTTTTGGGGGGAGAAATTGCATCAAATTCCACCATTGTATCCATTTTTGCAGCCCCTCTTGGTCTTTTATCCAGATGTAGACATTGTTCCAGACTTACCATTGCTGGTAATTAACATTTTAATGATGGCTATAATATGCTGGAATCCATCTCTGCCTCTACCATCCATCAATCCTCTGATGGTCTCTTGTTGCTGGAGATGTAGGTTGTTCCTAATTATTTTTCTTCTAGATGCTCATTGCAGGATCAGTTTCATACAGATAGTTGTTGTTGGCTTTTTTTTTTTCCTTTATAAGTCTGTTGAATTATTTCTTTAGGCTGAATTCCCAGGAGTGGTATTACTGGGTCAGAGGATATTGATCATTTATGGCTGTGGCCAAGAACCACTTTTCAAAAGGGCTGAACCCTTTATATGGCAACCAGCCACATATGCATGTTCCAGGGTTTCATTTTTGCATTAATTTAATATATGTGTAAAATGAAACTTTAAGATGGATTTAATCAGTAGTTCTTTGACATAAAACACATCCTTAACCCGGCCTGGCAAGCTGGTTGCCTACCCCCATCTTGGAGTGGGAAGATGGGGATAAGGAATACCCGGATGATGGTCACAGAGGCCCCTGGACTTAATAACAATTATAGCTCATGTTCACTGAGCGAGCACTCACCATGTGCCGGACACTGTGCATTACCTTATTTAATCTTCATAAAATCTTCACGAGGGAGGTAACTGTTTTGTTCCCCTTTTACAGATGAAAAAACCATGACATTGAAAGGGATTAAGAAATTGGCCTGAGGTCACACAGCAGCGGGGCCTCGATTTGACCCTGTCAGTGTCTGGCTCCAGAGCCCTTCTTTGTTCTTCATCATTTCCTGTAGATCCATCTGGAGACCTCAGACCTCACCTACCTTCAGGAGAGTGAGAAAGAAGTGAGGGCAGTAACTCGTGCTAGATGTGGCCCCAGACTATTTCTGCCCTAGAGCACCCAGAGCAAAAGCGATGAGGGCCAGTCCTCAAAGGCTTGTGCTGCTGGCTGGCCAAATAATCAGAAGGCTCACGTGGGAGCTTGGCTGATAATAGATAACAATACAACTAATATTTATTAGTTTATCAGTCTTCAGCCCTGGGAAGTGGGCTGCACATGTCTCCGTCTTACAGGCAGGGACGTGGAGGCTCAGAGTATCTAGAGAAAGCTGAGCCAGGCAAACCCCCCCAACACCCCCCCCCCGGCTTCGGTTTCCACTCCAGAAGATGATATGGTGGGCCTGATGTTCTCTAAACACCTTACAGCTCCTAATATCCTCTGAAATAGGATGGCTGGTGGCATAAAGTGGAGTTCTTATGATTTTAAGCTCTTCACCTCCCTCAGTCTTTTTTTTTTTTTTTTTTTTTTTTTGCCATTTTCTTATCTTTAAAATACGTACAAGGAGGGGCTAGATTTGGTCCTGGCCCTTTGGGCTCTAAACTGGGAGTTCTTGGGCAGGTGCCTCCAGCTTAGGAATAGCGTGTATGTGTGTGTGTGTGTAGGGGGGTGGGGGTTACATGTGTGTGCAGCCCTGGCCAGGTCCCCAGCCATCCACTCCCAGACTTCCAAATTCTGAGGCAAATCTGCAGATAAACACAGAGACTGGGAGACTCTAGTGGTGCCTTTTCTGAAGTTTATTGGTGGCTTCTGCTTTTCTCTGATATTGCTGCCCGTTCTGGCAGCTTCTGCTCTGTGGCAGCTGGGTCTCCTCACCCTGCCTCTTTGGCCATGAAGGGGGCTGGCAGGGTACAGAGAGAGAGGTTCTGCCCATTGGCCTTTTGTTTTGAGGATGTGGAACCTCAGTGGCCACCAGCTACCTGATGGCCCCTTCCCTGTGACTGCCCCCCCCATCTCTGGGGGGACACTCACACCCAAAACCCTTAACCCCTGCTCCTGTCAGTGTGACACATTTGCTCTTGCAAGAAACCTGGTGTTTCAAACCCT